CTAATAGATCGGAATGACGTGGTAAACAAATGGCCATTTCAGGCTAATTATCTTTTGGTTTTGGCTAGCAATTAGAGATGTGTTGAATAAATGCTATTGATGGGTATACGCGCATTTTAGATCGCGTAATTATGTACCGTTCGCCTTGTAACAATGATTATGGAAAGCAAATTCCGGCTGAAAATGCCCTCTACATCCTTGAAAACCGTGCCAATTAAACGGACGGGGTCATAAACGAACGCGAGGGGTTTAATACGTATCAGTCATGGCTTTCGATAAAGGCGGAATACAATCCCGCGTAAACGGACATGTTTTACAACTGATTCGCCCAATTACAATCCCCTATGCTGTGACAAATTTTATCCGCTATACTGTGACAAGTTTTACCGATTGATTAATTAAATTCTGATCATTGAACATTATTACACACGAAATTCACAAAAAACCCAGTTGTTCTTATTTCACTTGATTCTAAATCTCCGGAAATAGCAAAAATATTTTCACTCATTATTTGCATGATTTATACATAATTATAACCCATGATTATAGGCCTTATTTAACTATATAACTGAGGGGGTCAGCCTTTGCAGGCCCACATTTGCCCCTCCTGGTGAGATCGTTTCCAACCGCCCCCTCAGCGAAGGCCCCTTTTCGTGAGGTTAAATAATTTATGTGTTAACTACAAGATAACCATGTTCATAGACGAATTATTAACCCAACTAATCTCGCTCCTCTGAGATATTAATTCGTCAGGAAGTACTGCTCTCTACCAAGAATGTGGGAAATCAATTCATATAAGTGATTCTTATAAATATAACGAAATAATTTTCTCTTTGAGATCCTCAAGTTCCCCCTCTCACAAAATTCCCACATTGAAATTTGTCGTTGGGACCATTAATCTACATGTCTATAAAATATCCCTCATACACACAGTAACATACATGCGTGAGAAATTGCTGTTTCATTAACGCAATGTTTGTTTAGGCTAGAAGGAACTAAAGAAACACTTAGGATAACATGACGCTTTAACATTTAGTATCAAGTAGATTCACGAAAAAATACGATTATTCACAAAGGTTCAGAGTTATAACTAGGGCTCAATAATTCCCAAATAAAACTCTTTTAACATTTATATAGCTTAGCCAATCCTACCGCAAATATTTGCTGTTACCAAAACATTCGGGAATACGTTACCGCGCAACGATATACAACTACAGACATAAATCAATCGTCAATATGCATGATTTATTTGACTTCAAATCGTTGTAGTACATAGTACTAGCATTGGGTGAACCACGAGCTCTGAAACATATGAATCAGCTAGCGCTTTACCAGACGCAATTTTTGAATCAAAATAATTGCATCTCAAACTTCTAAACGAATCATTAACGACTATTCCATCTGGAATCAAATTTTACGACCTTGTCCCTTGTGGCTGTTTTCCTGAATCTGAAGCAGCTAAGTAAACATACAGAGACACAAAACTTAGAACAACACATAGATGATAAGTGTTTTTCAAACAATGAAATACAAATAGCTTCCTTCAGCAGTTTGATAGACATATTCTTTTAGAAACACGTTATATTCTCTCTAAATGCTATGGTAACGTGATCGAATGATCAAACACAGAAAGTGATTTATCTCATTAATTCGTACCTTGATTATGTCATGGTTATTGTATTCCTTGCAAAAGAGATATTGTTAATCTTGGATCTGATATTTCTAATATTCGTCATAGTCCAGTCGACTGCGAAGGGTTTTTGGGAACGCGACCATTTATTAAACGTGACAAATTTGTTGACAATCGGTCAATTTTCAATTTTTGATGTAGTTCTCGTATTTCAGGATGAAGTCTTGGGATTATTGCGGATAAGTTTGTTTTATTTCCTGTAAGACAAGCAAGGGTAGCTTTCTATTTATTGATGATTTGCACAACACGGTCATGGCCGTACATAGAACATGCAGCTTTTTGGAATGAAGATTGCAATAAATCTTGTCGTGGTTTGGCCTGGTAACATCTGAGGCCAGTTATAAAAGACTAGTTAACTTTTAACTGTAGTTAAGGACACAATTGGCCATTCAGAGTTGTGTATTTCTGAGTTAACTAGGATTTAACTATGCAAAATGTAGTTGAGTTTTATACAATAGGCCCCTGCATGTTAGCGACTTTTACCATGACTATAAGTCTTCGAAGCCGACAGAAGCCCATGCAATCATGTTGACTAATCTGTTTAGAATTTCGAATGGTATGCAGCAGTGGAAAGTTGAAACTGATAATCGAGAGAGTAAATTATGTGGTTCACTATGAGTCAAATCTAGAACAGCGCGTTTTTTGTAGAACCTTGCCGTCTTTAATGACAATATCACATCAATATATGGTGTGTGTTGGAGGTAAATGTCCATTAGAGATATTAGATTTTCGTTTCCAAATTAGATTTGTCCTAAATAAATTCTAGTAGCAGCACCTCGGTGCATTCAGTTCTAGTAATTATATAATGAACACTTTGTAACAGTGTTTGCAAAATAATTTCCGAATGTATTTACAACGAAGATCAATGAGAGTGGAGGGTATAATTAAATACAACTTACTATATAGGTATCCCTGGCGATAAACTGACTAAAACAGCATACAAACTCTCGCCACGTGTAACAGCTGATCATACTGCCTCTCTCTATAAATATTATACTGTGTATGATATTGTTTTATAAAACAACATTTATCATTTATCTAACATGTGTTCAAATTGGTCGAGGCCTGTGTTTGGATCAGGCCATTCAAACACGCGCATTTCTTAACTCTTGACATTGGTTATATTCTGATGGTTGAATCTAATTACAGTACAAATATACACAGGATAACTGCATGAGATGTTTTTTAATTCCACAGTCAAACAATAAACCTCAACAAACAACTCTTCGCTATAATGGATTCTTCAGTAAATGTCCCCCAACAGAAGATCAGTCAATAAATTTTCTTGAGGAAGGCCTAAATATACAGGCCCATTCGAGCCACACCTACAAACTATCCAAAGAAGGCCTTGACACATGCACTAACCTCTCGGTGTGGTAAATCGCTGCTTCATCAGCGCCATAGCAACAGTAGGTGTTACGGTATTTGAACACTAAAAAGCTTGTCGAACGAATTAATATATCGAATAATCAGAGCAGCTACGAATTATGAACTAGAGCTCAATAACTCCCTAGCTGAAACTTATATAGTATAAGCAATTTCTTATTTTTTCTAAAAGATTCAGGAAAGAGTTACAAAGCGACAATATGTTTGACTCTAAGTTCATCTAAATAAGTCAAACGTTTAACATGCCTTGAATATGGTGGCCGGTCGTTCTCATAGTAGAAATTATAATAACTTGGATATATTTAAAAAGAAATAAAAAATAAATTTCATTAAATATAAAAATAAATTGATAAACAATAAAAATAAATTAATAAACAATGAAAAATATTTCGTTATAATTAAATTACAAATTTTATTTTGAAGGTAAAATAAAAAATAGATTTAAGTCTTTAGATCAAAGTACATTTTAAAAATATAGAGACGGAAAATTATTTGTATGGTGAACTTTGAAATTAATTTGCAATTTTACTATAAAAGCAATCCGTAATGCCCTGGCCGTCCGTTCTCATTTGAAAACATTTCGCAAAATGAAATGTTCCAAGCGGCCGATTGTTCTCATAGCCCGCGATATTCCTCGATGAATACGTTGTACTTCATATTCTGTTGTCATGGGCTATCCGCTAACCGACTTGCAACAGGAGCAGATAATTTCAATAATTCCCGCCACTTTCGTCATTAATATTTTGTCAATCCGCGTTTATAAAAGAAATTTCACAGAAACTTTACAAGGAAGAGTCGGGTTTGCTTCACCTATTTACATCGTAATATGCCTCCCAAAAGACATCAAGCATGGGCTGAACTGCACAACAAAATGAAAAGCAAGCGAAGCAAGGCTAGTAATGATCAACGGGGAAAAAAGACAGGTTCCGCACCGCATGAACTAATCGTGCAGCGTCTAGCAGCCGAACCAGATCACAAGCAAACATACAAAGCAGTCCAACCAAGGGAGTTTGTGGCCTACGAGTATGAGGATTTGAGCCTAACAAATCTTAAAAAAGCTTGTGCAGCCCATTTCCACCTGCCAGCGAGCTCGTGCGACGTACTGGTAACGAATAAGGGGCCGTCTTGTACGAATATCAACCAAATTCCTCACAGGAAGGACAAGGTACTGGAAGCCATATGTGGATACCATGGATACCATGGCATTGCACCATACCCCAAGGGTGGTGCATTAAATTATGTGATTATAATATTCATGACATATAATATTACCATTTTCCTTCTATCAGGTTTACCTTGTGCGGTTTATGGTCACAGAACAATTAGATGATGGGTATCCGGATAGCCCAGAGGTTTCAGATCCTAAAGATATGGTGTTTGGGCCAATAAATGTCAGTAAGACACCAGACACTGAGGATACCCACTATCCAAATACAGTTTCAATAGACTTGTTGCTAAAAGCTGGACAACTTGTAAAACCTAAGATGAAGAATCAGGTATCATTAAGGTTAGAAAAGTTCCATCTTGATGAGCAAGAATGGGTGTCTTTAGAAAACTCTCTTGATTTATTGGTGGACTCAGAGAAATTTTCTTCTGGTGGATTCAGGGATGCATTTCTTGGAGTGACAAAAGATAAAGAGAAATGGGTAATCAAGAAATACCATGAAAAGGCTGTCAATGTAATAACAGGTACACTCAATTCAACTGTTGAAGACCATACTCGAAAGCAAATACAAATGCATTCGGTTGCAAGGCATTTAACTAAAGTGTTTAGCAACAAAGTCCCACAAGAATTTGGCGAATGCTTCACTTTTAACCGAGCCTACTACACAGTTTACCAAGGCCAAGGACAACCTGCAACTGTTGAAGAATTTGTTGAAGGAACATTCCGAAAATATGTCAACAACAATGGAAAAGTGTGCAGACCTGAGGTTGGTTACATTACTTTATTTTTTAGTGAATTTGCCAACTGTCATGATGTAGTTACATGCATATATATATTATGTTATATTATGAGATTAACATGTGTAGATGTTCAATGGCAAAATACAGAGTACTCAAACACATTTCTTTATATACTAAAAGTCTAAAAATATACAACATATAGTACATATGACTATAGCTTCTATATTTGTAAATAGGTTTGCAGTGCTGACATGATGACAATTATTGACAAGGCTGAATGCCTAGTGCATTATTCTCACATTCAAAGTTCCAAGAAACTCATGCTTGTTGATCTTCAGGGTTCAGGTTACCACCTTTATGACCCAGAAATTGCCACTAGTGAATTACGTGCAGAGAGTGGTGAAGCTTACTTTTGCTGTGGCAATATTTCCTTTATAAGTATTGAAGAATTTCTGGATGCACACATCTGCAACAAGTTTTGCAATATGATCAATGAACTTAATACCAGCAGCTGATGAGCAAAAAGGTTTGGACAGATACTATTCTGAAAGTTGGCAGTGTCTAACTCGCAATCCTACATTGAAAAAACCTGTCCCCATCCAGGTGTTACTTCACGTTATTAAAACACAAAGCACTGTTCTACTGCCATACATGTAAAGACAGTAAAACACTTAAATTTTGGTTAATATTTATAGATTGCAAGCTGTAATATTTCTTATGTTGCTCAGGATGGAAGTCTTCCCATTCCTTGTCTTTTTACAAATATACTATTATTGTTCAAAAAAATCACTATAGAGTTGCTATTTGTGTACATTTGTAGCATTTTTGTAGACTTGAATGGACAGCATGCAGGCTCTATATCAGGTGCTCTCACTAACTTCTGATAAACTGGCTGATGGCACATTGTAATGTGCCTTCAGAAATAAATAAGCTGTTGCAGCATCATTTGGCTTTACATCATCAATTGCAGGTATAATTCTTTCACATTCTTCTCGTACAGCATGAGTTAAATAATCATCCCCAACACTCATGACTTCAGAGAGATTGGCTGCCTCATCAAGTATTTCTTTTCTTACACTGAAACCTGTTAATCAGATATGTAACAAAAAGTTTCTGATACACCAGGCATAAAAACTAAATTTATATAATTCATGTAGTATGGTATATGAATATGTCAGGCTAGCAATTGTACAGTTTTGATTAAAGCAATTGTACAGTTTTGATTAAAGCAATTGCATATAATTGCATATTGGATATTTCAGGTTTTGCACTTTTCACTGTGTTTATGTAGATAGGGGAATGAAGTGAAAGAAACATACAATTATTTGAGACCAAACAAGGAACACTATATTCTCTTTCTCTTTGTTCACTTACGTACTATTTAAATTTAATACAATTACATACCACATTGCTCGGCTTCATATTGCTCAGGAAATGCATATAAATGTTTTGGTATTCCCTTGGGTAACTGAGCTTCCTTTTGGCATCTTACTCTATGTGAATTCCATATAGTTTCTCTGAACACCTCCAGTTCTTTTCCAATTATTGGTATATAAACAAATGCCAACAAATCTCTGTTAGGGAAAATAGACTTGCATAAGTTTGTAATAAAATGGTTTTTTATTTGTAATAACCACCAGGGCCGTAGCTAGACTGCTTAATTGGGCGGTGTATATTCATATATTTCATGTTTACATATTGTAGGAACAATAGCATACAAAAGTAATTAGTCGTGCATAAGACGAATATATGACATAACTACTCCTACTGGTAATCTCTGGTAGCAGTAAGCAGAATAGAATAATTAAAAGCAGCATTACCTATCAGTTTGATTGTGCTGATCATAGTGGCCTTGTTCTAATAACATTAGTAACTGTCTCTTGAAATACTTCTCGAGACGATGGTGCAACTCGCGCCACCAGCGTTCAATCTGCAATAACATACTCAAATGACATACTGTATTTATTTAATTACTAGACTGTTTTGCTATATATCCAAGTGATCTCATGTATACAGGGTATATCAGAAAAAAGGAGACAATTTTGGAATAGTTAAAAACTATAATATATATATATATATATATATATATATATATATATATATATATATATATATATATATATATATAATAATTATATATATATATTATATATATATATATATATTATATATATATATATATATATATAAATATCGCATAGAATTGTGCAAATATTGGTATGTTAGAATCGTCGGCTCAATGTAACACTAAAAAAAAAAAGAAATTTCACCTTGTTATTTCAAAATTGTCTACCTTTTTCTGACACACCCTGTATATCTTACCTTGTTGTTGGTTGATGGCCCATAATGTACAGTGTCCTCACCATTTACATTATATTCTTCATCTTGATGCTGCCTTAGAAATGCATGGATAGTGGCCATATGACCTGTTTCAGTTCCCTTGTCAAGCCTCAAGTGATTACTTATTACTGTTAAATAAAGAATATAAAAAAATTGCTTTATTCACCAGATAATTTATGAAAATATAAGGGTGGTAATTTGAGTTTTATGATAAACTAAAAATACCTTACTCTACTCTACCTCTTGATCTGTATAATTGTTCTAGGTACCATCGTCCCACCAGTTTTGGGTCTGAGTTTGATGTCCAAAGCTTCAAATATATAATATAGTTGCTAAACACGTCTTGTAGCCCATATACGGCAAGAGGAAAGGTGCCATTCATAAAGCCCATGAGCTTATCATGCCCATCTGCTGAATGGGTATGATTGGATCCCTAAATAGTTGGACAATATGTCATTTAAGAATTATTATTATGCGTATACTGTCTTATTGGCCTACTTGGGGTCCTTTGGCAAATGAGTAATTAACCAATGGTATTACCAATGATGTAAAAGTACCGGTGGCACCTCTTCGTCGTTTTTTTTCCCCAACGTTCCCGCGGCGTTCCAGCCCTTCTGGATCGACATAACCCATTATGTCGTGTACTAGGTCTCGGGGTACAGCTAAGTTATGTTGCTCTCTTATTTTTCGCTGCATCGCCCGATAACCCAACAATTGTCCTGGACCCTCTATCTCTTGACGCACTGCCCTTTCCACGTCTTCGAGTGGTGTATCATACCGAACGTACTTGATATAATAAAACTTCAAACGTCTGCTTAATGTTCCTAAGCTCCACGCGTACTGCGGAAAATCTCGGCGGACAAAATCCAAAATCTCTCTACGTGATAGATTTTGCATAACATTTTTCTCTAGAAAAGACTTTAAATCGTCGTCATTTTCCCAATCGTTATTTCGTATATTTCCTTCCGCCATCTTACTTTTTATTGAGTTACTTCCACTGAGCTATATAACTGAGCTATAACAGGTGACGTCAGTGGTTACTTCTGTCACAGGTCACAATAATCGCGGGCTATGAGAACAACCGGCCGCTTGGAACATTTCATTTTGCGAAATGTTTTCAAATGAGAACGACCGGCCAGGGCATTACGGATTGCTTTTATAGTAAAATTGCAAATTAATTTCAAAGTTCACCATACAAATAATTTTCCGTCTCTATATTTTTAAAATGTACTTTGATCTAAAGACTTAAATCTATTTTTTATTTTACCTTCAAAATAAAATTTGTAATTTAATTATAACGAAATATTTTTCATTGTTTATTAATTTATTTTTATTGTTTATCAATTTATTTTTATATTTAATGAAATTTATTTTTTATTTCTTTTTAAATATATCCAAGTTATTATAATTTCTACTATGAGAACGACCGGCCACCATACTTGAATAATTCAGTTGATTTTCCGATTTAGCATGCTCTTGCTTTTACCAGTATCAAATTTGCTAATCAACTAATTCATTTTACTCTTCGGTTTCTTTCAAGAAATAATCAATCGGTATTCAAATTCCCTAACCTTGTGATTCAGTTTCTAAATCAGTTATAATGTAAACATGACAAAGGCAGAAAATTTAGAGCGACATAATTTTAGGTAAGCGTTTTTCAAACAATGAAATACAAATAGCTACCTTCAGCAGTTTAATAAACATGTTCTTCTAGAAACGCTTTATTCTTGGAAATTGCTATGGTAACGTAATTATAAAAGGATCAAAAGCAGAAAGTTATTTATCACATAATTATCATGCTAAACTTTCACATGCTCTGCGCGAGAGATTATAGTTAACACGTTGTAGTTCTCATATTTCAGATGAAGCCTCGTGATTAAGTAAATAAGTCGTGCTATTAATTTTGCGACGAAATACTCCAGCTTCTTGTAAATTGATCAAGATAATTATAAGACTTTCTAAACCAAGCCGTATACAATACAGATGCTATGCCGCTATGTGCACACGAGGGTCGTTTTCGAGGGATATTTTCACATCCAGTCCACACGATCCAACGATTAATATGTTAAATTAGCTTTAACTTCTACTGTAAATTGACGGTATTTAAAACCGTTTTAGCATGAAAACGAATGTGAAAACGCTCGAAAACGTTACCGTGTGCACATTGCCGAACACGCATGGTAGAAACACACGTCCAGTAATACATGTTGTCAAGGAATAAAATATTTTGATGTTCATTTGGTGTATTATATTAGTCCCGGCTGTACTGCTTTAGAGCCATAATTACAAAACCTTTAAGGGATTATGTGCATGCATGCAGAGTGATATGTATTGAAATGCGCAATATTGTGGTTATTTGCCTTTGAATCAAAGTCAATTGATCTTGCTATTGTCTGTCAAACTAATCGGGTAATATTGACAGTGAAATGCAAAACATCCTTGCGCCTGGTCCAAATTCTTGAATTGATTTCTACCCCAAGCAAATTGAAGGAGAGAAATTAAGACAACTAAATTGAGAAATTAGGTACGTGGAAAATGCCGGAGAACCGTCTTGCTAACTAAATATCGAATTACATACCTAAAGACAAATGACAGAGTTCACAGCGAAAAAAAAATAGCATTTTCCGTGTGCCGTTGATTGAAAACGGTACAGTGCTGTGAATAAGTGTGAATAAGATCAGTGGCATCAGTATGTTGCTTTTTAGGGGATACTGACTGAGTATTAAGATAGGCGCACATGACGCGTTTTTGTCGTACGTTTTTAGTCCATAGACTAAATCCTTGCGTTTGCGATGTCATTTATATAAGCGATTTTAGTCCGCTGACTGTAATCGGAGTATGCCAAAACAGTTTAATAATAGCCGATTAAAAACGTACGACTAAATTCGTGCCACAAAAATCGCGTCTTTCACGCTTGGCTTAACTAACGCCGCGCGACGCACGTACGTTGAAAACTTGCAAATTTACAATCGAAAATTATGAATTTTTCTAATTTCTTGCCGACTATTTATGTTAAAATGCCATCTAACGGTACCAGGTAGTGAAATTTGAGCCTCATTATTTAGAAATTTAACAGCGACTACGAGTACGTCTACGAATACGCATTGTTTGCATAAACCATCAGCCAAAACTCCTTGCAAGTAGGAATATTTTTACTCAAAAGTCCAACGACTACGTGTTTTGGCTGATGGCGTAAGCAAACAACGCACGAGAATGACGAATGTCGTACTCGTAGTCGCTGCGAAATCTCCCCACTAAGTCATTCTATGATAAAATTTTCGTGTTCATTGACGGTGAAAGCAATGAATTTCTAAAAAATTCAAGTCTAATGACTTGAAATTTGCATAGTCATGATGACCAAATTATCAGGCTGGTTACGCCACTGCCTGGTTTATTACACAGCAGTAACTGACGGTTGGTAAACAAAGTTCGTTTTATCCGATTGGAATATATCAGAATAAGTGGCGGAGAGTTAAATGAATAGAAAATCGTCGCACATCAACTAAGAGCTAAAGAAGGACAAGCTGTATTTTAACAGTTCACTCAATTACCTCAGTAACAATGAATATTTCACAATAATTATTATATTCAAACGCATCTTTCCCGCTTTTGTGTTTTTTTTCTGATTTTTCTCGAGACCTTGGAGCCAACAAAATATTTGGCTTCCTAACAAAATAATTTCCTGTGTTCAAACTTCAAAACAGGTTGAAGTATTCGCAAAGAATGTAAGTGGTTGATACACCCGCACTAATGGAGTAAAGCCAAAAACCCAAAGTGGTTTCGTTAACCACTTGTGCCATTTATATTTTTGATGCTCGGTCCTTATAAATTCCTCCCACATTAAAGCAAGTGTTTATTATTGTATATAAGGGAAGCCGAAGAGCACAAAGTTAGCGCAAGTATTGAAGACGAGACAATAAGCTAAAAAGAAGGACTTTTTTCGCTTTGTCAAAGTAAGATAACTGAATATAACAAATTCGAAATGCATGCACTTATTCTTGTAGTGAGGTATTATCAAGCGTTTGCTGCAATATACGGCAAACACCACCGCTCGAAATGCGGGACATGACAATGCATAATCAGCAGTTATAAAAGGGCATTGCCAAGATCTAATTCACAAAAACACAATAAAAATCATTGCAAAATTAGATTAGCATTAAACTACAATAATTTTACATTGGGTTTTTACCTATTTTTTTTAATTAGGCTATGTGCACATGGTAAGGTTTTTGAACGTATTAATTTCTGTTTTCATACCAAAAACATTTTAAACTTTTTCAATTTACAAAGGAAGTTGAAGCTAATTTACTACATCATTTAAGCGTATTTTTTCTTGGATCGTTTAGAATAGAGCGTCGAGAAGAAAGACAAGAACGGTTTCGCCAAAACCCTCAAAAACGAATCTCCTGCACGTATCCTTATTTTATTATCACTTTATTTGAAAGAAACATCTTTCAAAGTTTTCAAAATCTTTCAAAGTGAAATTATACAAATACGGCTAGTTCAGGAACTCGTGTTACGTAAATTAGTTTTGATTTATGTTGTCGGTACTTTAAAATTGATGATCACATTAAAAAACGACGTCATTCGATTAGAATTCGCGACCGAACATTTTACGAGTTGTTAAAAACTTCTTCGAAGGAACAGATTATATCTTGCATACTTACATGACGTATATACGTAAACATGCTGCAATGATATTGTCAATCACCATATATTATTCATTTAATCTTTTGATTTTGTTTGAAGGTCAGCATCAAAATGTCGATTTATGTTTTTCTGGGGGTCGTTCTGTTTTTGAATGCGATCGTCTTTCCAACCGGAGATTGTGTATCCCTAGACAATCCCGAGAACGACAAAGAAAATATTCGAAGGCACTGTATCTGGATTGGCCCTTCGGCTGGGAAAGCTGTAGACAAGCTTTCCCGATGGTCTTGTATAATGCTTGTTTGACTAATCCTATCATCCGCTCAAATTGACCGCCCCACCACGGTGCGCGAGATAGATTAAACTGCCATTCGATTCTTTGTTCTGCCAACCAGTTGTGAAACCTCTCTTCTTTCATCACCTTTCTCAGCCAGGTCGCTGCAGACACAAATGTCCTCCCGTTGTCCGAGTAGATTTTTGTAGGACGACCCCTACGGGCGATAAACTTCTTCAAGCTATGAATGAATTCTGTCGTGGTCAGGTCTGGTAATAACTCCAAATGGACCGCTCTCGACAGACTACATACAAAAGGAGGTACGATTTTCGTTCTCGATTTTTCGCTGTCCGATATGGAATTGGCCCCGCATAGTCCACTCCAATCACTTGAAACGCAGAGGATCCAACCGTTTGATCTGTCGGAAGATTTCCGGGTGGAGGATCGGCAACTGCGGCTGCCCGAAATCGCCTACAGCCATTACACCTTTTGATCATCTTCCTCACCAACCGTCGTAAACGGGGTATCCAATAAACCTCCCGTAGCTTAGTCATGGTAAGTCCCACTCCCCCATGTAAGGTTCGGATGTGGGCGTCCATCACAAGCTTCTCGGTGAACATTTCTTGATCGGGTAAATAGGTCGGGTAAAGTCCTTGAAGACGGCCTCGACATTCGTACACACCGTCCTTGGTTGTTTGAAGGTTTAATCGCGACCGGTCGTCGTGGAAGGTGTCAGTTGTTTCATTCCGCCCTTGGACTCTTTTCACCCAGAATAGTAGTTGCTTTTGGATTTCCTCCGTCGTAATAGGTCCCAATGACTTTTCCCCCCCATGAATCCTTGCATTAGACACGAACCTTGCTACCCACGCTCCAATTCGCAGCATTTTCCAAAGTTCGAATTTTTCGAGGAGCTCGTCAAACGTGTCTTTCACTGGTAGGACTAATGCGAATACTTCACGAGTCAACTTGGTTTCGACTTTCGATTCATCGGTTTCAGCAATCACTGGAGTTTGAGGCCAGTTCTCTTTCGCACTAAGCCAACCGGGTCCGTGTTGCCACAACTGCTTATCGTTAGAACCCAAACCTGCCCGACTACCGACATCGGCTGGATTTTGATCCGTTGGTACGTGCCTCCACTTGATGTATCTCTTCTCGCAAATTTTCCTCACCCGATTTTGTACGAACTGCTTATACTGTCCTCTGCCTTCGATCCAGTACAGAGCCACCGTGCTATCAAGCCATCCCGTCACGTCAGTTACTGGCAAACCTTCCAACGCTGTTTTCACATTGTCAACTAGGTTTGTCGCCATGTGAGCCGACACAAACTCCGTTCTTGGTATGGACAAACCTTTCTTAACCAAACGCGATTTTGCTGCGACCAATCCCTGCGTATCTCCAGACGCCTGCCTTACCACAGCATACACCGCGGCTGCCACTCCCTTTATGCTAGCATCCCCGAATGTATGTAGATGAATTTCTTGAATCTCTTCGCGATTTCCTACGAGGCTTCTAGGAACTTCAACACTGTTCGGAAGTTCGATCTCCCACCTTTTCCATTTCTTCGCCAGGGATTCATTCAGTGGAGCATCCCACCTTAGCTTGCGCTCACAGGCTTCACGATACAACAACTTACCGGCTAATGTCGTCGGGGACACCAGTCCTAAAGGGTCATAATTTATACTCTAGCCAATTTTGATAATATACCTCTCTTCGACGGGTCTGCTTTCTGCGATGGAAAGGTAATGCTTATTGTGTCCTTGTCTTTATCCCAGTCGAGACCAAGGAGTTTACCGTTTTCTTTGGTTGGGACCCCGAGTTGTTCCTTTGCATAGGTTTCCCCTTCTTGGTTTGATGATGATGGCGTTTCCAGCTCCTTGTCGTTTGACTGCCACTTATGTAACTCGAATGCTGCATCTTGAAAGATTTCTGTGGCAGTTGCTTTTAACTCTGATGCTTTCGCGATTGTAGTTGCTCCACTAATAAGGTCATCGACGTAAAGACTCTTTCTTATCTCTTCAACACCAGCAGGGTTCTTTGGGTGCCAACTTTCTAAGTGCTGTTGGATTACTCCTCCCAAGAGGAATGGGGAAGAGGTAAGTCCAAAGAGAGCTCTTGTAAATCGCAACGTTTGTATTTCATCCATGTTGATATCTTCCAGCCAGTGGAATCGGAGGACATCCGATCACTGCTACGAACTCTCACTTGTAAGAAGGCTTTTCGCAGATCTCCACTGAGGCAAACAGGGTGGAATCTTCCCCGCACTAGTACCGACCACAATTTGTTCTGGAGAGAAGGACCAACTTCGAGACAGTCATTCAATGATGGCGACTCTTTGGATGGTCTAGCCGAGGCATCATACACAACCCGCAATTTGGTACTCTCTGCCGTCTCACGAAACACTCCTTTGTGGGGTATATAGAATTCTCGCCCCTCAGATTTCTCTGGTACCGGTTCTACCACTCCTTCTTCCAACTGTTCTCTGATAACTTTGTTATATTCCTCCAATTTCCCTGTGGCTTTGAGTTTGCTCACCAGTGTCCGTAATCGTCGTTGGCTGTTAGCCTCATTCGTACCCACTGGAAAGTAGCTTCCTTTCCAAGGGAGGCCAGTTTCATACCAGCCTTCGGGACTTCTGTACAGTTGTTCTTTAAACTCGTCATATACTGCTTCTTGATCTCCAACTGGGGTGTCTGCTAACCCTAGGACATCCATCCGACAAAGCTCATCATATTCCACTGACGATGTTTGGGTCAGGAACATTTGAGACAGATCAATACCTTGTCCAGGTGATAGTAGGATCCATCCGAATTTAGTCAGTTCTGCCACTGGTTCTCCTGGTACACCGACTTTCTGCCTCGAACTTGTTTTGATTTTCGAGTATTCCCCTACGCCCAAAATAAGATGAATTGGGAGCTGTTCCTTTGGATCCTCATCTTTAATTACTACTCCATCCAAATGTTGGTACTTCCTCAAAACTTGGTCGTATTGTGGGTTTGGTAGCAACAACAACTGCTGTTTATCAATCTTCGTCAAATTTGCTTCCAGACTAAAGTCACCGTCCACAGATTGAATGCCAATCTGGAAGATGTCCAGTTTCCTTGTGGTTGTCCCAAGTAGCATTTCAATGTTGCGAATATCTGATGATGTTGGTTTGGCTTTGATATGGTTTAGCAAACTTGCTGAGGCATATGAGCTTCCGGCCCCTGTGTCCACTAGGGCCCGACATTTTATCTCCTGGACTTCAACAATAACTACTGGATAAACAACTGCAGTTTTTGAGAAAGGTGTCGTCAACAAGGGGTTTGATGTCTTGTCGCAAATAGAGGTGTGGTGTCTTCTGCCACAGTTTGTACAGGTTGACTTACTCCTACAGTCGGTTGCTAAATGTTTAGACCCTGTACAATTGAAACACAGGCGCTTCTCCTGCAGAAATTTCCTTCTGTCTTCTCTCGATACAATCTTATCACAATCTTTCGATCGATGCTCAGCATTTTCACAAAAAACACACACTTTCTTTACTTCGCTTTGTTTCATCTGAAATGCTCGGTCACGTTGTCCGGTTGGTTTCCCTCCCCGATGGGAGAACTTGCTGTCGTTTTTGTTATCATGGTCCTTGACTTGTAGTGGGTTTCTCTCTGTCCACTTCCGTATGGCTTAGACTAATTGTGGGAACTCCCATTCCTGCCAGTTATCGTCATTCCGCACCAGGTCACCTCGTATTCCTTCTAACTTGTCAAGTGTAGTGCGAACATACCCAGTGATTTTTTTAGTTTCCCTAGTGTCTCAAGCGATTGTACATTGTACACCAGAGATTCATAAAACTCGTGCACTTTCTTTGGTTGATTTCCAGTGCATGATGACAGGTAACCCCAAAATATTCTTCATGTAGGCATGCACTATTTCACAGGGTTTACCATATTTAGACTTGAGGATTGTTTTGGCACGTTCGTATCCCTCTGTTGAAAATGGGAGACCATCTATACAGCATCTCACTTCTGGCTCTACTAATTCCTTCAAATATGAAAATTTTGTAATGGCAGCAACTTTGGATCTGTCTATTTCTGCTACAAACTGATTCCAGAAACTTAGCCAGTCCTGGTGTGCCCCATTGAATTTAGTAATCACTAACTTGGGGAGTTTTGCCGCACTGGTAACTGTACTGGTAGAGTCCTCCGATGATGATGTCATGGAACCTTTTTTCATTTCGCTCATTTTTACTTCAAATTCTAGTTTTTGTTCAAATTGTTTACGCTCAAATTCTAATTGATCTTTCCTTGTATGAAATGTCAGTTTGTTTTCCTCTTCCTGTTGTTGTGCTTTCTCTTGAAGAGCTAGATCCGATATAATCTTGTTTAAATGCGTGATTTTCTCGTCGACTTCTTCTAATTGTTCTACGATTGCCTTTCCCCAATTGTCGACATTTTCGTCGCTGTCGCCCTCTATGAACTTCGCTTCCTCGATTTCTCCTTTTAACTTCCCAATGGCACTTGACATTGAATTCAACGTATCGCGATGCCGCTCGATGGCTGTTTTATTTCGTTTTCCGATAATCTCGTCGGTTTTGCTTAGTGTAAAACGTAAGGCTTTCATTTTTCCCGTCAATACGCTGTCTAATTTCTCCATCTTGTTCGATATTTCCTCCTTGTTTCTCGCTAAAATTACGAATTTCTATCTCGTCCGGAGGTGCCACTGTGTGGGGAACGTTGATGAGGCCCCCCCACGGTCACAATAATTCCCAAACACGGTTAAAGTTCCAGTATAAAGGTCCTATATTCTCGATAATTCTCACAAACTGTTCACACAAATTTGACCCACGCCGTTCTAACTATTCGCTCTTATTCCCAGAAGACCCTCGCTCATTTCACTTCCGGTTCAGTCAACAAGGGGGAATTTCGTTTTGGGCCAATCAGCGCATTTGTTTACGTTTTAGCTCTAAGCCAATCAGATCGCGTGAATCGCGATTTTACAACAAATCCATAGCTGAAAATAGGGGGTCACTTTCAAGCTTCTCTGCAAGTGGATTTTTAATATTGTTCAATGAAATTCAAATATGTTATTCTTATAAGGTTTTTCTACAAAATTCTCGCGGCGATTTTTGTTTTTTTGCGTTATTACGAAGTTATCCGGCTTCAAGCTTTGCCGTGCAGAAGCTTAAATAATGCACTTTGATTAACAGAAGCACGAAATCGCATCATCAAAAGCAAGCTAAAAAGTTACGTTTGGCTAATATCCTGTTTAAATAATTATGCACGGTTTATTTCCGGCGAGAACTTGACATGTGAGATGTCATTTCTTGCTGCGCGATATGACTATTGAGGACCATAATATACGACCATAATATTTGTTAACATGGAGGAATACGACCTAAAATTTGAAACAAAATTCAATAACCTACCAAACATTACGACCTTGGGCTCTGAAACCTTTGCCAAGCGTTCACTTTGGTTATCAGCTGAAGAACTGTGTGTACATTCGTGGTTTGAACAAGATCTTCATCGTCCCCATCTTGATCTTGCATCTCACTATCGCCGTCTTCGTCCTCGTCGCTCGAGTTTTCATCTGATACTTGAACAGCATTTGGATGGAAATGGTGTACTGCTTCGTTTGCCGTTTTGCCAAGTGACGAAATCTTCGTTGTCAAGAAATCTTTACAGATCTGGCAGACACTGATATCAGGAAGAGTGCACTCAATGTGGAATGAATGACCACAGCCTTCAAAGACGCGCCATAACGTGCTTTGGCGATAGCAATCGATGTTATCACATGCTCTGTTTTAAGACAATAGAAGGTAGAGGAGGTTTATACATATAATATATATATATTAATATATATATATATATATATATATATATATATAATTATATATATATTCTGGAGACCAGTCAGATTTATGGTTTTACTATCTTAACCAATTTACCTATCTGGGTTAGGTGATTTTTCCACTGAAGAAAATCCAAGTGGGAGCACTTTGTTGGTCACTACTCTATTGTCGAATAAATTTGGTAAGAGCCATTTTGTTATTGTTTTTTTTTGTCTGTGCTGCCTGGGTTGTTGGGATGCCATACCAGGGTGGGAGTGGATAACTTCGAACTTGGTGACCAGAAATTCAGCAGCTCTTGCTTTCAGGTTGTCAACATTTGCGCTTTTTACTGAAATTGAACTTCCTGGGGGGCACAAATGATGACTGAAAGTCATGCAGCTCACTCTTGCAGTCATCAATTTCTTTGGCTTTCTTTCTTATTTGTTCAGCCGTATCTGTCTCATTGGTTCTCGCTCGAAGCACTGGGTGGAAATTTTCTACAGGGTACTCGTCAAAGGCTGCCAGGAACTGCTGGAAAACTTGGTGCATGGGATGAATATTGTTATCCCAATACTTGAGGATGGACAAAGTTACCAACAGAGCTTTGTCGTAATGCCTGCGTCTGAAAACCATCATCATTACCCAGCAGCGAAAAAGTGATTTGCAATAAAGATTGTAGTTGCTACATTTGAAGACAACAGAGTATATGCTCCGGACAAGTGGTACATAATTGTCAACTAGGTTGATTAATGTGAGAAATTCAATATCTTGGCATTTTGTGAAGGCAGACATGATAGCATCTCGAACAAGGGTCCAACCACCATAGATTACTTCAAGAAGTAAGGAAATTCGCCATGGCTTTGGTTTCTTTGCTAGCTTTGCCTTTGCACCAAAGAGGAAGGAATATAGATCTTCAAAAATTGGATGGAAATTTAATAGCACACACTCTCTGGAGTTTATTGATATATGCAGTGGACCAATCATTGGAACAACATTCTTGCACACTTCAGGTAAGGATACCAATGCTGTGTTGTACACTAGTTGTCTCATAAAAAATTGCATGGGCCAGTCTCCAGGAAATGGGGCTGCAAAATGGGTGAGATAATCTTCCAAGCCACTAGATAGCATGTGATTTAAAGCAGTTAGTAGGTCATTGTAAGATTTTAAGGGTAGTTTTAGACTGTCAACAAGCTTTGTGTTGTCCATTCGTCGCATCTGTCTAATTTCAGTTTGTTGGTAATCATGAATTGCTAGTCTGTGTTAACTGGTAACAGTGGTTGCAATGGATTGTTATACACAGCTTTGATATTTGGAAAAACTTTAACTAGCAGGGTACAGGGCCGTAGCTAGACCGCTTAATTGGGGGGGGGGTGTATATTCATATATTCATGTTTATATACCATAGGAACAATAGCATACAAAAGAAATCATTCGGGCATATGACGAATATATGAATATGCACCCCCCCAATTAAGCTTCTAGCTACGGCCCTGGCAGGGTAGATGTGTGAACTGATTGGGTTTGGGTTTTGCTTTCAGGACGATGTTTGGTATGAATATTATGGTAGTCATCGATACAAAATATAATAAATTGTTCATTTTCTATTGCAGTGTGAAAAAATTCCTTGACTTTATCAATGTGGGATGCCGATGAGGCTTGCATAGATTCTTTGATCGTACGCGGATGTGCTACAACTCCCAAGTTGCGGAGCGATGCCAAGCCTTGTTCGTTTATTCCAAATTGCTGCAGTGTTCTTGCAAGGGATACTTGGAACCAATTTGCTCGTTGCGACTGTGAGTACATCATTATGTATATGACAACCATAACTCTGAGCTTTGTTAATGCTTGGCGCTAATCTGACATTCGATCTGAACTTATTGCATTGTAAAGGGTTGAAAATAGTCTAGAAGCACCAGCTTGCATACAAATATTTTGGAAATGCTCTGCATCCATCACAGGGGATTGTGGATCATAAGCAAGGAAGAATGTTCTTAATTTTTCCAGGTCACCTTTGATATCTAATTCATCAGTGGCTTTGGAAACAAGTTTTTCATAGTCTTCTTTGGACATAAAAGTAACCTCATCAGTCTGGCATTCAACACTTGCACTCATCAGAGTTGCTTCATCAGAGGCCACAGATTCTTGACTTGGGCAACTCAATGTTATGGTGGACACAGAGTCTTGGCAGCAGGATGGCTGGGCAACAGAAGGGCTTATAGGTGCTGGTGTTTCATTTTCTTCTTCATCTGGTTCACTTCTCAAGAATACTGATAGGTCTTCGAGCTATATTGAGCATATTAAGAATACTTACCCTTATTACAATATAGTAGATCAAGGGGAATGCCTAAGCTCTAACCTTTTTGATGTTTGGCCAAATATCAAATTACAATATTTTCTTTTTTGATCATGGAATATTGACATAGTCAATGTCACTACTTCCTAATTCTTATAACTTTGAGTTCTTTTGTCATAACTAAGTTAACAGAAATCAATCTGTGTCAGATTGACACTTGTGTTCTTGGTAATCTGTAGTTATGTAGTCGTGAAACGATCTCTCAAGATATTTTTGCTAAATTTTATGTATCTTACCTTCTTCTCGATTTCATTGGGAGATGACAGATGAGGTAAATACCCAATAAAACTCTTTTTCGTTAGGCACTGCTGAAGACAATTTTTGCAAACTTGGTTGATTTTTTTTTGTGTGACCTCATAATTTTTTTGAGCAGATGAAAACTTGGCAAATGCCTTAGCGAATTCATCCAGGTTGTACGCTCTTAAATTGATAATTCTGGAAGAGTCTTTGAATTCTTCCGACCACTTGTCGTGAAAAGGATTATTACACGTTTTTGAAAATTTAGGCATTTTAAGACGACGGAATAGCTACGAACTGTGAAAGTGTTTTCTGTTTGGAATGAAAACACTTTCGTGCGGGCGGGAAAATAAAATGTTCTATTTTCTTTAGAATTCATTAGCGCGCGTGTGATTGGTTTATGCTATATCGTTCCTCTACTTCTTTAAAGCGTGGTTGAAAATCTAGAGGAAATAATGGTTTGAAATGTCTGCGAGGAAAATTGCGAGACAATTTCGTTCCTGGTTCTCGGCTAAATCAAAGTGCATTATTTAAGCTTTTGCACGGCAAAGCTTGAAGCCGGATAACTTCGTAATAACGCCAAAAAACAAAAATCGCCGCGAGGAATTTGTAGAAAAACCTTATAAGAATAACATATTTGAATTTCATTGAACAATATTAAAAATCCACTTGCAGAGAAGCTTGAAAGTGACCCCCTATTTTCAGCTATGGATTTGTTGTAAAATCGCGATTCACGCGATCTGATTGGCTTAGAGCTAAAACGTAAACAAATGCGCTGATTGGCCCAAAACGAAATTCCCCCTTGTTGGTTCAGCCTACAGGTCACCCTAGCTACTTCAGACAGTATTTTTCTTTAAAATAGGTTGTTGAAGTCCATTCAACCATAGTCATTCAGGCTTCAGCAATACATTTCAAAACATCTCAGTTACCGCAGTTCGCCAGTGGGATATCTGTGTATTCTCTTTTGAATTTAAAAGCATAAACAAAATAAGTTCAGCTTGGCTGCTTCCACAAGAAAATATTCAAATATTTCGCAATCGAACAGTTTCCTTGCAAAATAATGAAAAACCAGCCTAAGCGGCATACAAATATGGCATTAACAAACATGATTCTCATTGTATCTCCGTTGGATCACTTGGATAAGAGTTGGACTAAGAATACAAAGGTTGCGGGTTCGATTTCCATTGGAAAAGGAAAATTCTAATTCCTCCTCGGATTTAAAAATAAAAAATA